GAGAGAGAGAGAGAGAGAGAGAGAGAGAGAGAGAGAGAAATTTTATATTATATATTTTAACATTAAAATATCATGTTAATATAAAATTAAATAACTAATAATTTATTTGTTGAACTGGCAATCGTCCGTTTGATTAGTGAGTCAACAATCTTTGATAGGTATTTCCAATTCAGTAAAATGACATTGAAATCGATGTGTATAACAAGAAAAAAAATGAAAAAAAAAAAAAAAAAAAAAAAAAACAATCAATGACAAAATGCATTTATACGTAGACTCGTGCGTGCGTATTTCATACTGCAATGCGCTCCTCAACTTATTGAAAGTTTTTAATTGTCTAATTATCCGCTTGAAATACAAAAATACTAATGAAAAACTGGGTAATAGTACAATTACAACATTTGCGAGTTCATTTGTATGAAATATGTGCGTGGCTACGTGCATGTATAGAACGATTGGTGGGTATGTTTTTGGATGTGGACGGGCATCTGCGTAATATGTTCATATAGTAATTATCTTAGATATCGAGTAGCAATAGACGCGTACAAATGTGAGATTGAAAAGTTCCACATGCTGAATTCCTAGGTGGATTAAAAGTATTCATTTGAAAAACCACGAAGTCTATTTCCACCTTGACCACTGACCTGACTAAGCGCACTCATGCACGCACGCACCCACGCACGCACTCGATGATGGAAATTAGCGTATAAAAGAGCAGATTGATTTTTCGTGGCGAGCCAGCTAATTTGAGAAACAAGAGGCAATCGCTCGTAGACCGATTCTGTAATTCAAATCACGAAAAACAGCAAAGCGGCTGCCAGCGAAATATCGTGCGGATATTGCCCTCGACTTGTCAACTTTTTTTTTGTTTCGCTTTCCTCTTTTTTCGATACCTTTTTATACTATTTTCAATCACCGACCTTTTAAAAGACTTTTAACTACGCGCTTTGTACGTCGAAATCTAGACTACTTTTTATATATCCCGGCGGGTCATGACCTTTTGATTTGATGTTGACTTTTAACACACGAATCCATTGATTACGATATCATCGATAAAATCCTACGAGTAATGCATGGTACTCTACAATTTTTCTGTTCATTCGGAGGATGTATTGATACGTAATATATGAAACGATAGGCATTTGCATTTCCCTTATAATAATTTTCCTCGATTCAATTATAACAATGTGTGTCCAGTGCCGCGTACACAGTCAAGGTACTTATAAATAAGTTTACTCAATGAAATAATTAACAAGACTTTACAAGTGGTTACCATGTAATGCTGTGGTCCTATAATGGATTTTTAATTACTTAACAATGGTTTCCTTATACCAAAACTCGATGGGACAATCAATGCAAAAGATCCTATTAAATAGCAGTGATGGTGGTACCGATAAGGGAAAATTATGCAATAGGGGTCCAGGGAGCTCGTATGTAGCAACGGCTCTGGACTAACGGAGATCTCCATCCGCCACGTGATCGATCGAACAATTCGCCGTTGCCTCGTCCTTATACGACTTATACAGTAGCCTCGGACATGGAGGTCCGTCGCCGATCGCCCCGAAGGAGGCATCGTCCCGACGCCTTCGACGCTGTGGATGCGCACGCAGCGCACGACACACGGCGTCGTTTCGTGTTTGGATATATTATTTGCGGCGCTGTTGCCAGGGACGACGCGCGGCTCGGCGTCGGACTTCACCGGGAAATCCATTTCCTCCCACCTTTCTCGATATACCTAATTACGCTCACGAATATCTCCGTATTGTTCACCTCCTCGGCGATAATTTCGCCTTCGATTCAGCGTCCGACGAGTTAAAAGGGGGACTAGGAGGGGAGGGATGCCGCTCTTCGTCATTGTCGGTCTTACGTACCGATAAATCGAGACCGCTAAATTTAAGCCTCGAAAGCTACCCATTACGAGCACATTCGTTCGAGCTGCAACGTACGCCACGCTTTCTCACGTTAATACGAGATAATAAGAAATTATACGACAATCCATGACATAATTGAAAGTGTAAAGCCAGGGCTAAAAGTACTTCTCGATCGAGCGAGAAGATCGTTACGAAATGACGGATCTATCCGCCGGCAGACGGGCGTTCTTATGGAGTTTTCGTCGTGACGAAAATTTCCACGTAGCTCTTAAAGAGTCGCGAGTATTAATCATGAGTGTGTGGGGATTCAGGGGACGATTTCAAAATAATGCCTGGCCGTCCGCAGTGACATTTCGTCGCCCCGTGCATTCATTCGCCTCCTTCGCATTTAAGCGGCGCAATTATTACCGACGAGAAAACATGACAAATGGCCGTGGAAGAGATCGAGCGACGAAAAAGCGGGGCTGCGTCAGCCCTCCAAGCGGAAACGCACAAAAGAGCCGCGTGGGCAAGTGCAAGGATAGGCGTCAGTGGGTCTGGATTAGGTAATCCCCTTAGTTCCGGTCTCCCGGCGTCCGTTCGCGACCTCTCCTTCCTCGCTCCTCGCTCCACGCTCTACGCTCCACGCTCCACGCTCCTCGCTCTTCGCTCCTCGCTCCAACCGTGGAACCTAAGTGCGCTCAACCACGTGCCGTAATGGTGATACCGCCACTAATAACGCAAACGGCACTCGTAATAACTGTCACAATGACGATAGCACCGTGTATTGGGACGGGGGAGGCGCGAAGTCGCGTGCGCCGGGAGGAGATGGAGCCTCACGCCCCATACATAGATCGTATCGATAACGCGCCGGGGAGATTTTTGGGAATCGCGAAGTCACGGGTCAGGAGGGGTGACCACCGACCTCGGCTATAAACGATCGCGAAGGATCCTGATTATTCGATTAACGCCGCCTCGATTTACGATGCGGCTCTTTTCTCTCATTTTTTTCTTGCTTTTTTTTTCTTCTTTTTATCCCGTGCTTCTTTCGTCGCTCGATGCGCGGCCCTCGTCGGCCATATTTTATTATGGCCGTTACCAG